TAAATAAATAAATAAATAAATAAATAAATAAATCTATTCTTTATCAGCACTGCATAATCATATAAATTAGGTAGTATCTTCTTGGTCAGATTATGTTGTTTTCTTTTGTTTAATTGGCAATTTTTCATGAAAGAGTTTGTGATCTGAGCTGTAGTCAGCATCAGTTTTTGTTTCTGCTGATTAAATGGTTTCTCCACCTTTGGTAGCTGAGTATAAAGTCAATGTGATATGCATGTTGCCCACCCAGTGATGTCCATGTGTATGGTCACCTTTTAGGTTGTTGAAAGATGTTTTTGCCCTAAACACTGAATTTTCATAAGAGAACTTTATTGTTCTGTCTCCTGTTTCATACTGGAGTATATTGCTAGTACCTTCTCTAGAAGATCATATTTAGTCTGACCTCTCTTCCATGACTGTTCATCATGGGTGATTCTTCTGGGAGTGCATACTTCCAGTGATTTAGGTCATAGCACCATAGGGATGTGCAAACCTTCAACACTACAAGGTAGCAATTCATGAAGGGGATTATATGAGTGTATAGTTATGCCTTTCCAAAGCATCTTCATTCAGTTATGGTGAGATGATATAAAATGGTGCCGGGGCAGGAGGGGTTCTCTGTGGAAATATAGGCCAGAGCTGCCTTTTCCCACAAGCTCTACAGTTGTGACTTTGTTTTTTTCATCCATGTATTAAAAGCCTGCTTTGTAAACCATGTAATTAGCATAAACTATCTGAAGTATACTTACTACTGTAATGGGATACATATCAGAGAATAAAGATGAATATGTGGTTGCCACCATAACATGTGTTTATAGTATTAGCTACTTTAAGAAAGTATTTGGGGAATGAAATTATAGAAATGATGACTGAAACACCAGGTACAGATTTAAAATAAATGCTTGATATGTTGGTAACATTCATATGCATATTTACTCTGAAAGATATTTGGCTATATTTAATGCAAAAAAAATATGTTTTCTTATCACAAATTATTTTAAAGCTAAGTATTTAAGATAGATAATTAGCATGAGGGGAAAAAATCAATGCCAGTTATGACAAAGACAGTGATTGTACATTTTTATCTTGCTTTACTGTACTTATTTATATTAAGTATTTTGTGTTGTCTACTTAACTTTATAAAAAAGTGGATCAGGTTTTCCTATGCTGTCCACTAAGGGCAGAAATATTTCCTGAGAGAAACATTAACACTGCATTCAACTCAGTTGTTTACTCTTTCTACAGCTAACTGCATATTAATAAAACTTCTAATGTGCTTGAGAATTTCAAGTAAATATTTCTAATTAGTTGTGCCACAGGTAAGAATATATATGGTAGAGGCCTCTGGTAGAGGACCTGAGATTGAGGAAGACACATACCACTCAGGGGTGAGAGAGGATTACTTATATATTAAAATAATACAACAATTATGTTTTTCAGAAATGTAGTTAGCTGTGCTTCAGCATACTATTTCTATTAACATATTTGGCCTATCTGGCTTTAGAGTTTAACCCCAGGTCTACATGTAGATACTGAAGATTAAGCTCAACTGGACACAAGTAGTTTTTCTGTCAGAATAAGCATTTTTGAGATAGCATAAAAAGGCTGCCTGAAAAGATTCTGCTCCATAGAAGCCAGGGAATTTAGGGACTCTAGCCACAGCTGTATAAGCACACCTTATTTGTTCCTAAGGGTCTTAAGCATTCTGCTTTTGGTTGTAAACATCTACGTTGGGAACAAATTTCACCCTGAAGAGACATTAGTTTTCAGCAAACCTGTCAGTTACGGCTTGATGGAAGACCAAAGTAGCCTGCCTTACTAGGAAAGAAATGGAGTGGGGGAGGGGGGAGTTAATATGTGAGATGAAGTGCCAAAATGAAAGCTGGTTTTTCCGTATTCCTCCATGCTAAAGTAACTTTCTGCTCCAGGAATCCTGCACTGTTTTGGCTGGTGAGCAGATTTAGAATTCTTGTAACATGCTATTGGATGCTACAACTGTCAACCTGCAGCCAGATTGCCCTGCCTCAAAAGGAGGGTGAGGAAGGGAGCCCAAGGATTACAAAGGAGACATCCATAACTTATTGGTCCCCTTAAGCACCTTGTTGAGGACCCTCATTGTAGTCTAGGAGAAGTTTGTTGGGTCACTTAATATATGCCACATTCTTATCCCATCGTATTTACCAGTTATATCAGAATGCGTTTGTATAAACTTAACAAGTGTTGTCATATTGCAGTGAAAAAAATTATGCAACAGAAAACTGGTCTCCTATCTATTTCTAGTTGTAAAGTGCCACCTGCTGATGACTTTTATTGCCTTGGTCACTTGCATCAATTGTATTTGTACATCATCAGCAGTCAATCATAAAATTATAGTGACAACAGCAAACTTGAATGTGCTCTAGTTCAACAGCAGTAAAATATATGATGGGGATTAAATAATCCTTAACTTTCTGGAAATTCCATAAATCATGTATCTGTAAGCTCTGCCAGAGGCAAAATCTATATAAGTAGAAGCTGGTCAGAATGAGCTGATTCTACCAAAGTGGTAGAAATCTGGAACCTATTAGATGGAAGGTGGGAAGATAGGTATTTTTTTCCTAACAATCCTCTTGCCCTGCCCCCCCCCCCCCCTCCCTCTGACTTTCCCACTGAGTCTAGACTTA